CGTTGTCATCGTGCGGACGGGGATCTGAATCAGACAACGTCGCCACGGTATCGGCCACGGAATCTCGGGCGATCTAATAAAGATCGATGACGCGACGGCGAACGGTCGTGGATCACCGAGCCGAGACCGTCCTCTCCCTCGTCGCGGGTAGGTCGGATTCGATCGATCGAATCTGAATCGCCTTCTGTGCTACGGTGGCTACGACATTCCGTATCGTGTAACATGACCAGTTGTTAGCGATGACACGGCTTCTTTTTATAGACGAACGTAAACGTCAAGCACACGCGCGTGCAACGCGTGCGTTACGTGCGTGCGTTGCTTCGGTGAGTCGGTTCCTGCGCCGGACGACACGTGTGCTAGTTTACATACCGCGAAATGTATACGGGGCGGCTCTCTCGGCTCGGGAGACACTTGAAATAGACCCTCGTTGATCCCTTTCGTTGATACAACGCAAGCTTCGAAACGTCGAGACAATACTCGTGATGTAATTTACCGGGGGAAAATGGTGGAAGTATAAGGAAGGACGAACAAATTCAAACTTCGTGTAATTCGGCGTAAATTTTTACGAGCTTTCAGCTCGTGCTTTATTAACTGGATAATGTCGGGAGTTATAAAGATTTACGAGAGAAGGTAGTACGCGATAAAGTTTTCAAGCTCGTTTCGGCGTGGTTAAAAAGAATTCCGCGCCGGAGGAAACTGCTGCGGATCACTCGGTATACACTTACATTACCCGCAATCTCCGAATCGAGTTGCAACGACGCGTTTCGTCGTTGTCGTCTACGATGCGAATGAGCGCGATAGTGGAGATTGCCGAGCGGTCTCGCCAGGTGAATCGTCGATCCCGAACTGATTTCGTGGCCTCCGTCTCCCCCACCGCCGCGATTCGCGCTCGTGATGTTGGCTGGAAGCTGTAGGCTGGAATTAATAACTCGTAATTACTTGTTACGATTCATTGTTTGATCGTCCACGGACGGGGAACGGAATAATCTATTCGCGACGTTGAGCTACAGTCAGCCATTACGCGGGTCATTATTCCAAACTACCGAGATCGATCGATCGGCCCGCCGGCCGGGCTCTTGACGGGATTATGTAATGAGAGAAAAAAATGAAAGCTTCCGTTGGCTGACTCCGTCTTGCACTACCTTTTAATGAAATTACACCGAGGAAAAAGTGCTTGGTATTTGTAGCTGTGATGAAAGAATATTGTAATATAGGGGAAGAATATTCTCTTTTACTGTGCGATTATATTATTATATTCTAAGGGGGAAACTAGGAGATGTTATGGTGTCCCATCCCAGCTATCGTAATCGCTTTTTGTTCTTCCTCTCCGGGAGTATGGCCGCGATTTTCACGAGGAAATATCATATCGCAATTTCACATTTGCATCTGCGAAAGAGTGCAGCGCTGTGCATTTTAACGTTTAATTTAAGTACCGTTTCGCGGCGAAATGATATCTGTGCGGATTTTCCGCGCAGCCGGGACGCGCGCTGGTCGCATCCTCTCTCTCTCTCTTTCTCGCTCTTCTCGTCGTCATCACCGTCGTACCTTCCGGACCCATATCCTCGCCCAATCTCTTCCTTATTTCAATTTCACGGCTGAAGGATTCGTCGGGGCATCCTTCCGTCTCTTCGACGCGGTTGACGTCAGAACATGCGCGAACGGCAGCACGATGGAAATTGATAGTCAAACATTTTCTGCGGGACGCGCCGGATTATCTCCCGCCGTGGCCAGGCCGCTCCCATGTGGACTGTAGATAACACGCGTGTTGGGATAACACCGTTACCAAAGTAGCAATCGATAATCAATGTCCCAGGTACGGTAACCTGTCCTGTGTGTGTTCGTCGCTTTTAAATTATTATTATTATTATTATTATTATTATTATTATTATTACGAAAGGAGATCAGAAAGAGAGAGAAAGAGTCACCGCTACGGAGAGTGAAAATTATTTAATTACAGCAAACTGCGTCGTGAGAATTTCCGTCGTTAATTTCCGCCGGTGTACCCGGCAAATGTTTGCTCAGTCGTTTGTGTATCATCGCTGAGAAAATTAGACGGGTAATAAAATGAACGGAAAACGCCTTTACGTGATCATTGATCGCTGAGAAGCTTAAAACGATTGCACGAGGGAGAGATAGATAAATAAATAGATTAATATGCGCGTTTATTATCGTTCCGAGGATTAGCCTTTTAAGAACGTAGACAAGTAGTAGTTGAATATTGGTTATAATCAGTTAACTTGATAAGTGTTTAAATGCGGTACGTGCGTTCTGACAATTCTCTTAATTGTATAAACGGAGAAGCGTCGATCTAATTTAAGACTTCAGAGAGCGAGAGATTGATTGACGCGTTTATTATTGCTCTAGAGCTGTATTTCTCTTCAAGTGTTAAGAAAAGATACATTAATGCAGAGAAAAGAAGAGAAAAATGAAGAAATAAACAATCTGTTTTCCGGATGTTTAATAGAACGTGTGAGATGCTGCGAATTAGAGAGAGAGAGAGAGAGAGAGAGAGAGAGAAAGCGAGAGAGAAATAAAGAGGGAAAGGAGGGAGGTAAACAGTGTTTATTTACATTCCAGGGCGGACCCTTTAAGAACGTTACATGATAATATCATGATGTTAGAAAGATGCTCTCCCGAAATCGATGACGGACTTAATAAGCGTCAATAATATATAGACGATTCTCAAAATGTTATATTACATAAATACTGACATAATCATACAATACTGACATAATTTTTTTGTATTTCTCGTGTATATAAATGTTATGTAAATATAATATAAATGTGAATGCGATGAATTGCGTTTTACTATATCTAACGGAAAATCTAACCAAGATATATTTTTCGACAAACTTTGCGTATCTTTTCAAGCCTCGAAATTTCATTGAAAAAGTATAAATAAAAATGTTCTTTGACACTCTCCTGATTGAAGTACGTTCGGTACGTACAAGCTGCAGCATTTCTGCGTCAGGTAAATATTTACGTTAACTGACAGCCAGAGGTGTCACTTTGACATTTTTAATCATTTGTGTCACGTACTATACGGGCAACATTCCAACTCATTTTCTCACGTACTTTTACCGTATAAAAACATTTATAATTCTGCACAACCAACAAGACGTAAAACAGAAAAGGAAAATTAGTATTCTCTCGGTAAAATTTTCAATTATATCCCCTTAAGAATAAAAAATACGAATAGCAAGACGAGAGAGAGAGAGAGAGAGAGAGAGAGAAGATATATCAAGTAAACGAAAGAAAGAAAAAATCAGAGAAAGAAAGGAGATAAATTGAAGAATAAGAATAATGACAAGAGAGAGTGAAAAAGCAACAAAAAAAAATCGTTGGGAGAAAATCGCTCGACGGTAAATATCGAATAATTCGCGCCGCTCGCCGTCGACATTATCAATCTGGCCGCGATGAATGATTACGCCGTGCCGCGGCGGCGTTTTTACAGGAGCGTCAGAAACTTCCTCGTGCCACTTTAATCTTCATAACACACTGCCGTAGCGCGCGCGGCGTGACCTCATACGACGGCCACTCCCATCCTCCCCAGCCCTCCAGCGGCTTCTTCCTCTTCCTCCTCTTCGGCCTCACTTCCTTCTCCTCTTCGTTCCCGTTCGGAGCTGCTCGACAAATTGATTAGGTGTGCAATTTCGTATGCCAACACCCGCCTGGGGAAAAGTTTCGGCGAGGAATTTAGGAACTCACGCTAGTGGGACGTCAAAAGTCACGGCCCGTGGCGCGCCGGTGACTTCGGATCTCCGCTTTTCGCCAAGTACTCTCTCCCAGAGAACATCTCCCGACGACAAGCAGAAATCGCCCGTTCGATGATTCACGACGGCAGCGACGGAGACACGTGACGAGAGAGATTTCACGCTGGGGTTTTGATGGGAATCAACATCAGCGGGATCTCTAATATAGAAGAGATATGAGGGACACAGTTGGGACAATTTTGACATTTTATCTTATAAAATAGCTCTTGTTCTTTAAAATTTCGTAGCGACAAAAAATGAAACTGATTTATTGCTTTACTGAGAAAGCTAATAGGAGCACTGACACTTTATGAATTGAAAATACGTTTCCAGCTATAAATACGATAGAAGGGACGTGTATTTGAAAGTTTTGCGCATCTGAACTTGGAAATTTAATGGCCCGGCTCCACATGTGTGAAAGTTTCCGAGTCCGTCAGTGTCATTTTCGGCTCTCCTTCTCACCGAACCGTACGTTAAGCGAGGCAAAACACGCGATAGATAATTGCCTCTCGAGCGAAATCGACGGAATCAGTGTGAAATCTGAAAACGTAGCGGAGATAAAAACTGTTAGATCTCGCATGCGATACGCGAGGCATACTTTTTCACGTGCCCGAACGGAATGATGCGGCAACTTGATGCATTCATCGAGCGCGTGTTCGCACTTGCAGATACGAACTCGAGTTACTTGGAAAATCGGCTTTCTCGACGCGACAATTGCGATTTCTTACTGCAACTCGTCGTGGCACGATCAAGTGGAAATTGACGCGTCTTTAAAGAATCTTTTTTCTGGAAAATTCATTAAAGCCAGTCAACAGAACGACTACTCGATACTAAGGAAATAATATTCGATACTAGAAATTATATTCGAGTAATAAAGTTTTGAAGTGTAAAAATTCGAACATTTGGATATTCGAATGTTTAAATATTTGAAACTTTCAAGAACTAGAAAATATCTTATAAGTATTTCATAAATATCTCGATTGAATTATTCGAAGGTCCGATCTCTATCTTCGAAATATCAAAGCTGTTTACAGAACTAGTTTTGGAGAGTGCAACAAAATGTGCTGCGATATTTCGAATATCGAGTTCGAAACTTCGAATAATTTGTCGGTGAAATATCCGAATTGTACCGGAGTATTCGAATATGTCGAGTAGTACTGTCCCTACTCGATACTTTCGCGCTTAGGGTACAGGTTTCTTATACGCTCGACGCGAACTGGAAGTTTCACGTATCTTTTCGCGTTTCAGGCCAAACAACGTGCCTCCGTGAAATGGCTCCTGTCGAAGGCGTACAACAATCGAGTGCCGGAGAAGCTCCGCGAGCCGTATTATCGTGATCACGAGGTAAGCTTGAACGAGAGATCCCCGCTTCAGTTTCTAGCTCCCAAGGCCGTCGAAAGTTCGACAAAGGCAGCTTCTCTTATTAACAAGTTTTCGTTTACCCGAAGTACACGTCCGTCGCAGGTGTTGCTTGTTGTAATATTCGTGCGCGATCAGGAATTTAATTCTGAAACGTGTATTCGCAGTTTTCTGTTCACGAACATTTACATTTTTCCCGGTGAGGAGCCTCTTAATGTCTTTTCATTTGCTACCGTGTAATTCCTCTGAATTTTTTACGCGCCCTCCTCGGTAAGATGGATTTTCCCAAGACACATTATACCACGCTCCTTTTCACTCTCGTTGAATTATTGCGGGCATCGCGGTAGCTCCCATCTCTACTACTCTCTTCGCCGCGAAACGGATGAATTTTTTCCCCCGCGAAAAGTCTCCTCCCAGCTTCCGGCTGGGATGTTGTCTCCCGAGCGAGTACTCTCTTTTGTGGCACACGTCGGTTATTCCGTAACGGAGAAACCGGCGGGTCTACCGGTTTGTGAAAGGTGGCACGCCGTGAAGTTACGCCGATGCATCTGCACCGGCGAGTGGATGCTAATAATACTTGGCGAAAGAACACAATATCGCGCTAAACTCTGATGATGAGGAACGAAAGTCGCGTGCATTACGAGTCGCCGCGACGATTACCGTGACTTCGCGCTGTCGCCGCGCGGGAAAATGCGGCCGGCATCGCCGCGAGACGGCGAAACTTCGCGAAAATTGAGCTTCTACGCATTGAGAGAAATTATGGTCATTTTCGGCTTCAACTATATTCCCTTCTTTTTGTTTTAACTGAAAAAATAATAACAATGTGCATGTTTACAGAAGAAACAATTTCTTTGAGATATTTCTTTGGGTTTCAGAAAATTTCTTCAATTAGCACAAATTTTTGAATATAGTAAACAATCAAATGAGATTTTAGTAAATATGTCATTAATACTCACCGAATATTTTTAAGTTTTTAGATACTTTTTCCTCTCGGTAAACACTTTGCTGCAGGACGAAGTAATAACTATCATCACGTTGAATATTTTTAAGAAATAAAATTTGTTTTATTAATGACGAAGATGAAGAAAGTTTAAATTTGCAGAAGATGCTCGTGGTGATGACCGTTGACATTATTACAGTTTCTGTTAGATAAATTATTCTCTCATTTCGAAGATGTTCAAAGTGCTTTGATAATTATCGTCTCACCCTGTGTATATTGTATTTACATTACACAGGACAAATATTGTAAATAATTATACTGAAATTATTGTCGAAATTATTGTAATGTTTAATAACCCGTACATATAATATATATCCTTAAATATTACACCATACATCATAATTTCAGTCATAATTCCGGTATGGCGTTGCAAAATTTTATGGTAATTTTTACAATATTCTTTTCCGTGTACACGAATCCATACAACGCACGTATAAATATTTGACGCGAGCGAGACCCGCGCTTCCCGCATTTCTCCGCGTTACATCACGTAATTTCGTCACCGTCGTCGCTGCCGATCCAATTAAAGTAATGGCATTATTGAGCGGCCAGTGCAATTCTCCGCCGCGAGAATCATCAGTGAATCGCGCGAGACCAGCTCGTCGCGTCGTCGCGCTCGCGTTTTCTCCCGATAGTATTCCGTTGAAATCCGTGCCTCGCAAATATGGGTCGACGCGAAATGAGGAAGCTCCTCGGATATTCTCGTGGAGTAAGTGTCGAGATGACTCATGAAAAGTGCCTTCCTTTGCCGCGCGACGCGGGGGAATTACATCAAAATACCGGCCGTATTTCGATGTAAAAATACGTACTTTTGACGGATACGCCGGCGGCTCTCGAGCATTCCGTCGAGGGAAGTGAAATGGGGAGGACGTTCGACAGAGACAAATAGAAAGAGAGAGAGAGAGAGAGAGAGATTTGCCTTTTTCATTTTATTTATTTTTTCATCCTCTTTTTTTTTTTTTTTACTGTCGCGCGATACCTTACATTCCTCTGTTTCTCCATATATATTTACGAGAAAAAATCCGTGCGAAAGCTCGGGCACTTTCGCACAGGGTGGTGACGTGCAATGGCCAGGGGAGAAGCATATTCCTGGCTTCCTCGCGCGCATGTTTACAAGTCAGAGTTAGAAAAATATTTTCCCGCGATGCTCAGCGCAAAAGCACCTTCTCGAAAAAAGCCCCCTCGTCATCGTGGAAGAGATTCTCCCCGACTAGACCTCTCGCACGTGCACGCAAGATGAGGAAGCTCAAATCGCTCATGAAATAAAGACGAGGAGAAGCACGCGTGTACACGCGAATTTCCACGGTCCAATTTACGGACGGTTAATATGAAACGACTCGAGAAAACCTTTCACGAACGAATATGGGAGGTTTGTGTAAATAATGCGCTCGCATTTCGTGATAGTGCGTTTTCCTTTACGCACACACCCGCTCACCCGCACGTAACGAGATAACTAACGATCATCGACACCGTGTGTTTTTGCCTTTCGTGTCTCTCGTTTCTCTCCCTCCCTCCCAACCTCTTTCCTTTTTTCGACCCCACCGACCCACGCGTAATTATATTTATTAGACTATCGCGCTGTGCAATCCCGCCGCTTACTATCTTTCAATTATCTCCACTTGGCATATCCCTCTGCCTATCGTTCCTCTGCCTGCCGTTCGCCCGGTAACTCCGCGAAAGGGAAAAAGAAAACTTTTTAGAGATTCTATCCGTCGATACACTTCGCCCACACAATCCTCCACGCTAAACTCGAGGCGAGGAGAATGTTCCTCGGAGCCATGCACGTGCCAATTGCACAGCTCGACTGTCGGCTCGCAAGTCGGAAGTTCGGCGCGATCTTCGCCGGGAAAGGTGGCATTTCGCGAAGTTCAGGCCGATTCAACGGAGAATCTAATTACGGAGCTGTTTTGACACGGGAAATTAATGGATCCGGTAAGAAGGCCTTCGCGAGAGAGAGAGATCGCGGGAGAGAAGAGGGAGGGGGAAGAAAATACAAGACGAAGAAGGCCGCGGAGTCATATTTTTTAATTGTTCCGGTAACGATTGTTCCCCCCCCCCCCGGCGCCGAGTTTCGCCGTGCTTCGAACACTTCCGCGCTGCGGGTCACAATAGTCTTGATTTCCTGGGCGTTATTAAAGCTCGCTTTTATTGTGGCCCCTACAGAACGGCGAGAGGACAAGACCGGGGCTGCGAAATCGATAGTTCTCTTTATTCCCATCTGTAATGATTTCTTCGTCGCCGGTTCTCCTTACACAATGTGCCGTTTGAACGGCCCCCCGCTTTTTGGAGCGCGCCTCTGTCTGCTCGTTCGCGAGATCAAACGAGCCCAAATCCAGATTTTAGCATAGGGTTAAACTTTTAATTCTACAGAGCGGCTTTGCTTCGGATTTATTTTTGCGTGAGAAAAAATGCATTTTGATTGTTAAATTTTGTATATTTACATTAACTCTGTTGGTTACAAAGCCGGGAAAAATAGAAGGAGGCTTTAGGGACACTGTCGAAAATTCGATAATCGAATTGGCGTGCGACTCGGCAAATAGGGAAATCCTTAGGCTCGACACCTGGCTAAGGCAATGTACGTAACTTCGGCGTACATGAATCAGTTTCTAACGCGCTTTCGAGGGGAAGAAACACACGATGCCGAGTGTACGGTTGTTTCACGCTGGGATTGCGATTCCGGCATTTTTTTTGTGCGCCTGAAGTCTCGATCGTTCGCTTCCGTCTTTCCTATAATCGCGGCTGCCTCGAGAAGCCTCGCAGGAAATGCCACGTGTGCGGTAACGTTCATCGATTTCCGCGGTAAACTCGTCTTTCGACCTTGTCGGCCGTCGCCACTTCGGTCAAAACGGAGTCACTCGCGTGATCTTCGGTCTGAGCATGAAAACGGTCATGTTGAAAAAAAAAAACGAGCCAGACGCGATTGTGAAAGCAAGGTCGCCGTCGAACGCGATCATCTGTGGCGCTCTCACTTCGCTCGGCGCGCTCTAGAAAGGAAAATCACTCCGTTAATTGCGGTGAAATTAGTCGAGCGTGAGAATAATGAGTTCTTTCTTCTTATTTTCGAATCGCACAATTGCATTAGCTGCGATTCTTATCGCACGTCCGATTTTGCGACGATGATAAATCTCTAACAGAGGATCTGTGGACGTTCGCAGGAACAGGAACATCTGAAGCCGCAGATCGTCCATGCGCTCTCCAACGCGGAGTTGTATTGCCTCGCGTTGGCCAACATATATTCGGATCCGAACTATCACAATCAGAATCACTGTGGGATCCTGCAAGCTCTGGCCAGGAAAGGCGTCTACGTCGCGGAGCAGAACAATACTCAGATCACCGAAACGATCCTCATTCAGAATTCACCACTCAAGATGGTAAGCTTTCGTGTTGTCACGCAGTCACGTTCCCGTCTCATTTAAATGTCCTTAATGTCCTTAATAAACGACGCAACTCGCGGTCGCGCGGCACGTTCTATCCGATATATGTCGTCGTCGCGATTCTTAGATGGAAATATCTTTGTGCAAAGTGTCAATATATACCTCTCCACTTTTCGCTTGTGATTAAAATTTATTGAGAAAAAGCCTTTATACTTTCTCATATTCCCAGAATTTATAATTATATTAGAATTTTCATAAATTTTTATAAAATCTTATATTAAAATATTCCGATATTAATATCTTTTAAACAAAATGTTTGTTGGACGTCTGTCTGGCTATAGTTTTTTCTTCCT